TGAGCTCGGAAAAGTTCGGAAATCAAAGACCTTTTTGCGCTTGACTTTTTGAATGTCACGTCGCAAAAGTGCTTGCGGCGCGGATTTTAAAACAGAAGATCTGTGTATTTGTCACAGCATTTGTCCTCTGCCCGAGCAGTAACTGTCTGTCACTCATTTCACTAAAAAGCCCCTGGAGAACAAATTACCAGAGCTTTGCACCCAAGCAGGCAGCATCAGACCGATGGTTGCCAAAGCACGGTAGACATTTCAAGAATTTCTTTTTCAGTGTGAGATTTAGATTAAAGTTTACGCTATGATTACAAAAATGATGGGACATAGAACTGCGGGCAGAAGTCTACCTCAAATATTATCTCATCTGTACAATTATTTACAGAAATTTACCAGAAACACAGTAATCTACGCTTTCTTACTCCTGTTCTGAAGGCGTCACTTGTTTTGCGAATGATTTTTACTATACTTCCTTCATATCAATTTTTAGCCTGTTCACGAACTCATGAGGGTAACTGGAGCCCTCTCCCTGAAATGGGCCAGGGAGACTGTTAAATCCTATCACTGGTAATGTTGCATCAAAATCCCAGAAAATTCTGCAGGCCTAGTTTATCAGATCGCTTTGTAAGAATAAATCTAGCTTGTAATGCTCGCATGGATCTTAAGGTCCTCTTATGTAATTGTTCGATGAAGTATAGGTGAATTAGTTGTAGTTTATCGGAGAATTACATGCGAGGGCCTAAGGCCCACACATCCATTAGAAACTAGATGAAACTCCGAATCTAAAGCATGAAAGAAGTACCGGTAATTTGTTGTTATGTAGACAAATGGACATATGCAGCTCAGGATCAAAGGTTCTGGTATACCTGTGCCAGACGCATAGGTATATAGCATGAACTTCGTTAACATGGGATCTCCACACCGACTGTTCGAGAATTATTGGCACTTTCTGTATTCTTGATATTATGCGAATAATCACAAGTTTTTAAAAGAAAGGATCAACGAACAAAGAATTCTTGATCACGTAGAGGAGGTGTATCAAACGCACTGTACAGGTAGCGCTTCTCGGATGGTACCACTTTCCGGTCATACGCAGCCTTCAAGGCCTGTAATATTTGTTAAATTCTGCGGCCTTAATACGGTCAAACCATTACGCTGGCATTACGCCAGCCAACGACCTTAATACGGCTTTAATATGGGCAACAGTGCATCAAAATTTTTAATAGGAAACTGGACAGCACGATTCTGTAGCATGCTAGAGTTTTTAGAATTTAAAACCACAGAATTTCCAAGAAAACTTGAAAAGTCTTGATTAAAATGGAAGACAGTAAAGATTAGAAATGCTGCCGCAAGACAAGCACAAAGATAGGAAAAATCACGAAACAAAAAACTGGCTGGAAGCGCCATCCCATAGCTCCGTTAAATGACTGCAAAGCACGATAACATTCTAATCACAAAAAAAGTAAAATCCCTCACTCGGGTACTCCTTATGAAATTGCTGATACTGTGCTGCATGATAATAAGTGGGCTTGAGTAAAAGATTCAGGAAAGGCAGAGCACATTTACAGCGATATCGACGACATTAAAGGAAGAAGTTCGGAGAAAACAACAACCACTGACTTTGGAATTACAATCGGTTCGTAACCAAGGCAGTTTTAACAGTACCGTGAAAATCTTACTTCTTAAAACAGACAGGAGTTTTAAAGTAGGTCTTGGAAATTTAGGCGCTCGGCTTCTTATTAGCTTGTATGTCCCAAGACAAGATTATACCGATCTACGTGGAGAGAAACACTCAGCCTTTTTATATTATTTCGAAAGACGCAATACGAGCAAATGTGCACTGCACCTCCATCACTCCGACGGTAGAAGGATCTGGCAAAGGCTTTTCTCCTGCTCTGCACATCCTGACAGTAACCAGCCTTCTCGCCGTCCCACTGCCAAATGAATAAGCAAAAGCCATTCTGAAGCCCTATTTGTAGTTTCTGGAAAGGGAAATGAAAAGCTAACAGACTGGATGCAAATGTGTACGGCAGTATTTACTTGCACTTTGTAGTTATGTAAATTTGAATATTAAAAATGCCTGTTGAGGTATGGAGGTAGGGTACCATCATTGGTTCCTTCGGCATAACTGACCGATAGAGATATTCGCTGAAGTTCGCTTATTTCGGTACGTAAAATTTAGGGATTTGTCGTCTAGCAAAAAAGGATGGATGGACTACTTCTTGAACATTTGTTTGAACTTTGCCTATTCCAGGATACAAAATCTATTGGTAATTTTGCTGGCTAGAAATCACGCTTTTCCAATAACTAGCACTTTGTCTGTGTAAATGGAAACGGGAGTGCCCATTCTTTCTGTAGGGATAAACGTACAAAATTAGCCGCCCATGCCAAATTCAAATTTCCTGCGTCAACAACGGTTGTGTAATTTACCTGATCCTACCACCAAGTACATCACAGGTCACAACTTCTCTCTCCGACTTCCTAAAAGTCCTTCTTGTCGGCCTTTTTCATCCTATTATTCGGATGGCCCTGACCTCATCTATTAGTCGAGGTTATTATCACATCTTACTTGAGCACCTTTCCGCCAGTGCTCTAAGCGAAATAATCTAACCTTCATCCTTCAGAAGATCATGTTACGCGTAGCTAAGCGTGGTTTTTCCATCTTCTTCACATCCTGGACCTCTGGGATTCTCAAGGGGAGGAGATTTGCTGTTAGTTGGAGAAGGGGCAATATGTACTAGAACTGTGAAACAGATGTATTTTTTTGAGCACATTTTGTTTTTTACTCTTTTTTCAATATCCCAAATCTGAGGACGCTCGAATTGAAGGTGCTCATGAAGCAGTATGCGTAGTGACAAGTATATATGTTAGTTCCAAAAATATTTGCTCCTTTACCTATCGCTGCAATTAGTATGGCTATTTGAGACTGGTTGCATAAAAACTCAACATATTTTGTAGAATCCGCCAGTCGAGTTAGGTACGGATAAAACGTTTGGAAAATTTTCACCCCCATACATTATCCAAATAAGGGTGGGCGAATTTCAAATTCTCGTAACATAATGTAAATACTGCACTAATATTTCATGTCTCTTTCATGATTTTGTGCAAGTCAGAAGTAAAAGTCAAAATCCTCTCCGTATTTAGCTATAAATAAGAGATGCAAGCATCCGGAAATAGTTGGAATGATAGCATACGCAAACAGCAGCTATTGTCACTGGTATCTTCCTCCTTCAAGAACTGCTAACACACAGGTTGATGGAGCTTCAATTTCCTGACATTTGTCAGTAGAAATTAACCCTAGAAACGAATCAGTGAATCGTTGAGGGAATGGTTTCCCTTCAGCATAAGCGGATCCAGGGAGTACTCCCTGGAGAGAGAGGGCGGCATCCGAAAGGAGGGGAGAGGGGGGTGGGACTCCTGAAGGGAAGTGAGAGGAGCGGGGAGGAGAGCCCCCTCCCACCCTAGAACCACGCAGCAAGTAGGAATAGAGTGTTACACTGCTACTTAGAGTTACTTTAGGCTTCAGTTTACTTTGGGTTTAGCTTTAGAGTCAAACTTTTGCAGCACTGGTGCCTGTGTCGATGGGCTTTTCGCGCCCCCCCCCCCCCCCCCCCCCCCCCCCCCCCCCCCCCCCCCCCCCCTCCCCCCCCCCCCCCCCCAC